CGTCACGTACACGATCAGAGACGAAAAGACATAGAGTGAAGAAAGAGTGGTGGAATGATAAAATTTCGAGGTTTTGGAATGACGTGTGTGAAGCTGAAGATGTGTGGTGTACGAGTAGGGCCCACGTAGAAACGGGTTGAAACATGTGTATGTATCGAAACCCAAATTGTTTGATAGACAGGCGCAGGGGGCAAAGCTGGAAGATAAGTAAGATACAAACAATCCTTATGTTTTTAATGAAAATACCATCCCTTTTTATCCCTTGATACTCTTTTAATCAACACTTGTCCAAGGCGCAAAAAATTTTGCAGTCGAGGTGCGATAAACTAATAATTACTCATGAAATGTGAAGATAAATGACGTCAAGGGACTGTGACTAGCCAGGTGGTAAAAGCGTTCGCTCGTCAGGTCGATTGGATTCTCCACATAGGTTCAATGTGTGAAGCCCAATCTGGCGCCCCCATGTGATCTTCTAACTTGTGCTAGTGCTGACTCAGACGCAGACATGAAGGGGACAGTGAGGCTGTGAGTCAGGCAAAATTGGGAAAATCACCGGGTTGGGATCAAGTACCAGTAGATGTTTTAAGGGGACACCAGCGACTCCTTGTCTTCCCGGGGAATCATTCTGGTCAGTGCTTCATACAAGCTCATCTGTGGCACCCTGAGCAATAGACTAACTAAATGTGCAGAAGCTGTGATTCATGCTCTTTTAATCAACACTTGTCCAAGGTGCAAAAACTTTTGCAGTCGAGGTGCGATAAACTAAAAAAATACTCATGAACTGTGAAGATAAATGACGTCAAGGGACTGTGGGTAGCCAGGTGCTAAAAGCGTTCGTTCGTCAGGTCGATTGGATTCTCCACATAGGTACAATGCGTGTAGCCCAATTCTGGCGCCCCCACGTGATCTTCTAACTTGTGCTAGTGCTGACTCAGACGCAGACATAAAGGGGACAGTGAGGCTGTGAGTCAAGCAAAATTGGGAAAATCACTGCGTTGGTATAAAGTACATGTAGATGTTTTAAAAAATGACATTTGTATTAACTTACCTCACAGACTGTTGTCTACGTGTTTTGTGACTGGTTACATACCCTGCAGCTGGGCTGAGGGAATTATAACTCGTATCCCTAAATCTGGTTCAGGGAACACCAGCGACGCCTTGTCTTCCCGGGGAATCATTCTGGCCAATGCTTCATACAAGCTCTCCTGTGGCACCCTGAGCAAAAGACTAACTAAATATGCAGAAGAAAATGAACGTATCCATGACTACCAAAACGGTTTCAGGAAAGGATGTTCAACAACTGAACATACATCTAGTTTGACTTCGATTGTAGAAAGTCGCAAGTCTCAACGCAAATCTACATTTTCAGCCTTCATAAATTTAAAAAAAGCTTATGACAGTATCGACAGAAATTTGTTATGGAGTAAATTAAAGGACATTGGTATCATTGGAAAAATGTTAAAAGTTCTGTACGGGGTAAATGGTTTATATACTCCATGATTTGATGTGAAGTGTGGCCTGAAACAGGGATTATTTGTTATCGCCCTTACCTTTTAATTTGTGTATTAATGATGTTATTATAACAATTACCAACTTGGCCATAAATATAGATGGTGTAAGGTTGGTATTTTAGCATATGCCGATGATATTGTCGGTATTTAATTGCTGAATGCTCGATTGTCTGCATAACTGGTGTGTATCAAACAAAATGATTATAAACAATGTCAAATCTTAAGTTGTACAATTCAGGGCCGGTTCGGTGGCTAGAACCATTCTTCTATTTACATGTTGAGATTTTGCATTGGCAATCGCAGATTGTTATAATTATTTAGGCTTACTTTTAACGGAACACTCAGATTATGGCTGTATGGCAAAATCTGTAGCACGTTCGACAAAACAGAGCGCTGGGCCTACTTATAACAAAATATACAGTACTGGGTAGAATGCAATATCTAACCTACTCTAAGTTGTTTCATTCTGTGGTATGGGCTACTGTTGAATATGGTGTTGCAATTTTGGACACGTAAAATTTGTCTTGTATTTACGCTGTGCATAATCGCGCCATGCGTTTCTTTTAGCCTTTTAGATGTGGTGTAGCTCCCCTAAGAGTTGAAACTGGAAGATATGATAGATGTCCTTTATCTGAAAGAATTTGTTTCTATTGTAAAGATTTCATTAAAGATGAATGTCACATTTTACTGCAATGTCCATTATAGAATGTTAAACGTTTTAACCTTTTTAACAAGTGTACACAATTTGTTAGTTTTATGTCCTTTTTGGATAGAGATAAGGTTAGTTTTATACTGTTATACACAGAGCCGTCCCTTTGAACTGCCTAAACCTGTCATGATATCAAAAGAAAAACGTGCTGCCAATTTGTATATTCCTAGTTATATATATTTAATTGTAATTATTTATGTTTTTATCTAATACCCTTAATTCATTGTTTTGTTGTATGCATAATAGTCTCTCGTATTTCCGCATGGAATGGCTCAACTTATTTTTAAGAATGTTTGTGTATAATTTTATGTATAAAATGTTGAGATGAGATTTTAATAAAATATCTGTTTGTCAGTCTGTCTCACACGCAAGGCGGACGCCTTCCACGCCTTCCACGCCAGTGACACTAGGGCTGCGTTACGCGTCACCCATGCGTGTAAGAGGATTTAACTTCTTGGCAGTAGTGTATTTCAATGTAGCAGTTAATTATTACCTTGGTTACATACAGACACCGTTTCACAGAAAGCACATTTCTCGACCTAAAACTGGAAATGCGCACAAGATCAAGGCGCATATTTTTTCTTTAAAGTGCTTAAAAAGACTGAAATGGATAGTAATTATGTCCTATCACATGAAAGTGACTCATGTACGGACTTAAAAATACGAACATGTTCATGCAGTGACAGACTATCTCCACTTGTGGATGTAGCACACAGCAGTCATGACATAAACCGTTATCTGAACACTTAGGAGATGAGGGTAATTCTCCAGGAAACCTCTCTTGTTCAGCAGCATGATCTATGATATCGGACGTTTCTGTATATGACAGTGGCATCTCGTGTAAGAGTGCACCAATAGAGTCACGATTTCCGTAAGGAAATGGAACAGATTCAGCATTTTATCTCCACATCATGACAAGAAGGACGACTTAGACTTTCAAATAGTCAATTTTCTCTTCCTTTATGTCTAGTAATATTCTTACAGCTTCTGCCTTTGGTGGGTATATTTCACAACTTCAGAGATACAGTCGAGCATGCTTTTACTGAGAAGATTTCAACGACTGTCATACGACACTTGCTCAAAAGATTTTTATTAAGTATTAGGAAAACTTTCGGATGATCTATGGTAGATATATGGAGGATATTCCCAAACTTGTCGCATCAGTGACACAAATGATAGGCAATTCCCTATTTTGACTTGTACCATATGATCCAATGTTTTTCCAAGTGAACAAATGACCTACCTTTTGTGACGGGTGCCACCTTTCCGCGATCACGTGGTATTATAACAATTTGATAATGATTCAAAAACACATGCACATAATATATTTGGGATCGTTCAATGGACTCTGAATTAACATATATTTCTTATGCTTAAGGCTCTTGATTGGAGGAATAGGACCATTAATCCCATTCTTGTCACAAGAGCTGACTTCGATGAGGATCAGATGGTTACCTGCCTGATTGCTTGTCGTGACCTGTCGGCATTGACCGAGGCTCGTTTTTTCAGTCACTGGTTTGTCCTGTCCACGTTTGATTATTCACAGGGTGGAGTGTAAAACAAGACTATTGATGACTGTAGTATAAAACAACGTAGAATGTCTTTCTTCTGCTGCCTACGGGTTTGTTTTGGTGTTTCTCGCGAATCACTATCTCTATAAACTAATCAAATGCCTATGATTACGGATGAAATCCTTCAGAAAATGCTTAAATACACAATATATCTCATCAAACATCAAAACACAAAATAGTGAGTGAGTGAGTTGGGTTTAACGCCGCTTTTAACAGTATTCCAGTTATATCGCGGCGTGTCAGCTTAATGTGGGAGGAGAGCCCGAAGTGTGGTAGGTCTCAGACGTTTACCACTTCGGTGAAACCCACGAGCACGGGTATGGTGCTTACAAACCTAGAAACATAATCGGGGCGAACAGGGATTCGAACCCCGAATCATAGAATTCTCGCGTGCTAAGGGACGCAACTCTGCACAGCGATTCGCGGCGCCTAAGACGACTGGGCCACCCGTGCCCCCTAACTATTGGAAGTGAACCCAGATCTTGAATGTGACGAGGAAACACACGCTCCTCTTGACTGTCCCAACACTTGAAATGAAATCCCACGACATGAGAATGCGATCAAACATAATTAATGTGCACCGTTGTACAAAAACAAGGGCCTTGGACTTTGTTCAGCATTTGTTTGCAGTTTCACAGGGAGCCCAATGCATTCTTGCATAATCGACGATGACATGTGTCGCTGGAGATATCAATCCTGATGTGATCAGATACCGTTCAGCCTGTGTCCAAACAGTACATTGTGTGTACTTTACCCGATCGGTAGAAGCGTCATGGGTAAAAATAGGTTATCGCTTGTGAAGACATGATTGTGGAGCGCGTTTTGAGTGTTATGGTGAACATCATAAGTTGTATCAGTATCACGAGGGGTGTAAGTGGTTTTTTGCGTCACTAGTTAGACTTTATACCACTCGCCGATTTATCTTTCCGACATGTTTCACTTTGCCATTGTGACAAACAAACTAACTTGTGCTGTTTCACGTGACTTTCATTGACTCGTTGAAAACGTGCAGCTATTTGCTGCATAGAAGGTGAAAGAGATTTATTGCCCCCCTCTTGCTGGGGTATAAGGGACTTGTTGTGTGCTTAGATTTGATTTCCCTCCCAGGCGGGATACATAGTATTTTAACAAGATCACGTGAACCAATCAGATCTCATCAGTCTGACATGCAGGTAAGATAAAGGACCCTGCACCTACATATATTATGGTCTGCAGTACGTGCTTACTTCACGATGAAACATGGCTGACAATATATGCTCGTGTAACGTGGCAGAAGAAGACGCTAGTGGGTAAATAATGTCATGTATTTACGTCAATGCGATTCTTGTTATGATAATGTAGCGGTTATTCGATTACCACGTCCTATGCAGGGATTAGAACCAGGGATCTACTGATCTACTGAAGTCGGGCGCCTTGTTCACGTGACACAATGGTGAACAAGGTAAGGATGTGTAATGTACAAGCCTTTTGAATACTAAACAACAAAAGTTGACACCAATTTTTTAGTGTATTTTTCAAACTAGTAAAGTTTGGTTTTCAATATTGTAGTACATGTATGAAATCAAGTCACAAAAACGCAACTGCTACAGAAAAGCATGCATTCCATGCAAAAGTTGACTTTTATACAAGCTCCATGCATTTAACTACCCAAGAATGGGTATAAAAACATGTGCGTTAACGGGATTCCATATGCATTGTTTAGCATCAACAACCACTCAGAAAAACAACAAAATTACGCAATTATTCAACATTACGAAATGCCACGCCTCTCCGAAAATGAGCGTTAGCGAGCCATTGGTATGCTTGAAGCAGGATCGAGTCAACATCACGTTGCAAGACAATTTAACGTCCACAGAAACACCATTTGGTGTTTATGGCAACAGACAAATGCATTCAGATACCATCCTCGGAGTGACAGGCCACGCGTAACCAATAATCGACAGGACAACTGGATTCGAACAACACACCAACGAAAGAGATTCCAGCCAGCAACAGTGACTGCAAGAAGCATCCCTGGCCTTTGACGAATATCTTCACAAACCGTACGTCGCCGCCTCAGATGTGCAGGGATCGTCGCCAGAAGACCCGCCAGGCGTCCCATTTTGACAGGAAACCACCGTCAGTGGTGCAGACAGTGTCTACGCTGGACGGCCAAGTTCTATTCACTGACGAGTCTCGTTTTCACCTCAGCCACAGCGATGGACGGATTCGAGTGTACCGACGTCGAGGTGAACGTTACGTCAATCATTGTTTCATGGAAGAAGATCGGTTCGGGGGCGGCAGCTTATGGTAAGGGATGGGAGAGACAGAGAACCCGTTTGATAGTGGTAGAGGGAAATCTCAATGGACAGCGCTACCGCGACGAGATCATCGGCCCTGTTGTTCTACCGGGCATTACCTTTCAACATGACAACGCCCTGCTTCATATTGCTCGACTTGTTCAGGATTCTCTTCAACAAAGAAGTCTGAAGTCAGTATGGCAAATTAAACCATTTGAACACTCACAGGAGTCTTTTATCTGAAATTGTTTCAGATTTGGTAAAAAACATAACTTTGCATTCAATCTTATTCAATGTCACAGGAACTTTTGTTGTTCAGTATATATTTATCAGTAGACAGTGAGATTAATATTATTGTACAGGTTGTATGCTATACTACATACAACCGTAAACGTATACGATATTGTTTCATAAATTAACGTATATCACCACTGATCTTACCGACTGTTTGTTTAATGTGCAAAAACAAAATGTGAATACGTTCCAAATCACCTGTTTCGATTTGGCAACGTGATTGTTCGTGTGACGTCACCTATATTCGAGACTCTGTTCCACGAGACATGAGTGAGTGAGTGAGTTGGGTTTAACGCCGCTTTTAACAGTATTCCAGTCATATCTCGGCGTGTCAGCTTAATGTGGGAGGAATGCCCGAAGTGATACAGGTCTTAGACGTTTACCACTTCGGTGAAACCCACAAACACTGGTATGGTGCTGACAAACCTAGAAACATAATCGGGGCGAACCGGGATTCGAACCCACAATCATAGGTTTCTTGCGTGCCCAAGGGACAGAAACAGTCAGTCGTCTGGTGACATCACGTGAGATACGTCGACGTTCTTCGTGGAGGGTTTGGATAAGTTCTTGTCGGTTGACTAGGGGATGTGGTCGCTGTCGAACATGACGATCCATGACATCCCAGAGATGTTCTATGGGAGACATATCTGGGAAGCGTGTAGGCCATGGCAACACGTTGGCTGCAAGGACGTTCCGTACTACTTTGGCTGTATGGGGTCTGGCGTTGTCATGCTGATAAAGGACACCACGTGGCAGCTGTTGTACAAATGATAGGACAATCGGACAAAGAATGTCATCCATGTAACGCTGAGCTGTCAAATTTCCGTTAACGATGACCAGTGGTCATCCCCACACCATAACATCCCTTCCATCATATGGCATAACCTCCTGTTCCCGTTCGTTCCCCCTTCGGCGGTAAACAGCTATTCGGCTATTTTATGAACGGACAGAACCGGCTTTCAACAATGAAGACGACCCTCTGCCAGGCACTTCGCTCTGACGACGATATTGCGCTGTCAATAATTGTCCTCTGTAAGGTCTGTAAGCCCTCATTCCTTGAGCCCTGGGTCGCCTGGCCACTGTCTGTCGACTGACCATATGCCCTAAAGCATTCGTCGCTGATGACGTCACTGTGAGGGATCGATTCTGGAGATGCGAAGTACGCAATTACGGGTCTTCATTGGGTGTTGTTACCCGGGGTCTGCCTGTTTTGGCCTGTCTTTTAGGACATTGTGGACATTGGTGGCTTCCATCTGTATCATACAAAGGGCTTGCTCGCATTGTTCGGGTGTCAGTCGTGGCGATTATCTTGTGTTTTGTTTTTATCAATATGAGTGCCGTCCGCATCATTAATGTACCCTTATTGCAAGTGTACTTTCGGCTGCCAAAGCGGAACGTATTTTCAGCATTGAAAAGATCATTGTTGTGTTTGGATGATTTGTTTTGCATTGTTTTAGTTTTAAGATGTGTTTTAAACTTTTGCAATTTCACTTTTTAAAGCGAAAATTATTTTTGGCCGTCAGTTTAGTTGAATAGTTGTGTCATATACTGAACCAAATCAAAACCTTCACAATCCTAAAATTTTAACATTTTGACCAGTTATCATTGTGGGCCCTTATTGTGTATTTAAACAGTAATGGCCACGTATCGTTTTCAGATAACACCCGTTTTTGTGCAGGTGAATCGATCAAAATGATGTGCACAGCACCATAGTGGCAAAAGTGTTTTTTCACGTGCAACTGTGTCCATAATACCGCACGTGTTTTCAGCCATACTTGTTAGCAGTCATTAACAAAAAAAGAAAAACACAAGAAAACAAAAAGTCTTTACAGCCATTTGTCATGCCACGCCTTTCGAATGTGCAACGTAAACGTGCCATCGGCATGTTGCAGACGGGAACGTCCGTAGCTGAAGTCGCAAGGACGATGGGTTGTAGTCGACGGACTGTTTATGATTTACAGACGCGTCAACAGCAAACGGGTACCACGGCTACATTAACCAGAAATGAACTGTTTAGGAGTAGACTGAGTGCGCAAACTATTCGAAACCGTCTGAGAACTGCTCACCTTCAAGCACGACGGCCATACTGCGGGCCGATTCTGACTCAATTACACAGGCGTCAACGTCAATTGTGGGCACAGCGACACTTAGGATGGACTCAGAGGAATTGGAATCAAGTCGTCTTCAGTGATGAATCCCGATTTAATTTTCGATTTGCTGATGGTAGGGCGAGGGTGTGGAGGCGCCATCATGAACGTTACGCTCAGTGTTGTGTACAGGAAGTTGACAGATTTCGAGGCGGAAGTGTCATGGTGTGGGGTGCTTTCTGTGGCAATGCACGTTCCAGGCTTCTTGTCATCCGTGGCAACCTCAACGCTGCTGCTTACGGCGACCAGGTACTGGCACCAGAACTTCTGCCTTTTATGGCAGCACATGGACCCGCTTTGATCTTCCAACACGACAATGCCAGGCCCCACACAGCAATTTTGACAAGGAATTTCCTTCAGAATGCGGGAGTCAACGTCATGTACTGGCCGTCAAGGTCCACCGACATCAATCCCATCGAACACATCTGGGATGCTCTTGGCAGAAGTCTGCGCACTCTCCAAAACCAACCACATAATTTGCAAGATCTTGGCACCATTTTGCAGCAACAATGGCGTCGTATTCCCAATCATGTGTTCACAAGCATCACAAGGACCATGCGGAGGCGTTTTGTGGCAGCTGTCAACGCACATGGTGGCCATACACGCTACTGAACTTGTGTGCCATCAGATTCTCGTGCTTGGGACTTATGATTTAAACTGTTGATGTTATTACCGAATACCGTAGGTGCTTGGAACAAATTATGGTTAACACCGGTAATTAAAATCCTTCTTTTGACATGAATGATTAAAAATTACCTTCTCTAATACATTTGTCCGTTGTATATCATATATGGGATTACTTTTTAAAATGTGAAGTTTTTAATTTGACTCAGTATATGTTCAGATATTGAGAGCATTTGCCGTGTCTCGACCCCTGGTAGTCGAGCGTTTGGTCGTCAGGACCAGTAAATGACGCTACAGCTGGCGCGTCGACACGTTTCCGAGAATGTGAACTCTGATTGGAACATTTCCGAGGAGAGGCTGGTAGACACATTGTGGGAAGTTCATTAGACCTGTCGCAGTGATAATCTAGGAGAAAACAACGTTACGCCATGCTCCTCGACCTGACGTTTGAGCCCATGAATATGCATGAGCGGTATAGACACATTTTATTTATGGGGTGAAGGGTATGAGCTGGCATATTGCACACAACATTGCAGTCACTTGGCGCGTCCAACATTCCAGAAATTAGATATGGTTGGATTTTCAGTTCACATACATACCATGATATTTTGTAGCTGTATGAATGGATGTAGGTGAGCAAAGTCGCGTGGTGGCGATACTGGTGTATTTCTCTTAGTGCCCATATCAAGTTGTACTTGTTTGAACTTGATTATGTGTACTTCATGTATGTAACACCACTTATATGTCCGAACCTTCATATTGCATATATACTAGTTTACCTTTTAATTCCCTGCTAAACTTTTATTATATTTAATAACGCACATCCCACTCTTCAAAAAGTATCATATCCAGCAAATCATTCACATTCAAGTTTCTCCCCACCTGGAACACTAAAAGGACTACATATTTAGCAAACAAGCCAGTTCCATTTTTAAAAAATAAACCCAATACCTTCCGACTTAATGTTTAAAGCCCAAAGAAACAAGGTAAGCTAAAATGGGGTTTAACATCTCGTTTAAGATTATTGCACTTATATATAGACGTGTGGGCTAATGCCGATTTTAAAGTGCAAGATACCATGCCGCACTTTAACAATGTCTCAGGCTAACTACACTTATTCACAAAAATGTACTTGTTTATTTCGATGCGGCCCCTGTTCTTCCTCCCTATCTTTCAGTGAATATTGTTATTTCTGAGTAGAATATTTTTCATTACCAACTGTCCCCTGTTAACACAAGACACGCTCAGAAACTTTTAACGAAAGGAGACTAAATAGATTGTCAGCATAGTTTTATAATTTCAGATTCTGAAAGTCGGGAAATGATGGTTAGGAACGATTTTTAGAGGTAGGTCTCCCGACAATTTGTGCAGAATGTGATCGACTTTATATCTATAAAAGGTGTGCTGAACTTAAACAATATGCAGTTTATGAATTCAGTACAGGATCTTGGTTAAAACAAAGCATACATGTACCAACGGTTGTAGAACTGTACGGTTGAACTTCCATTTATCATATTATTTACCTGTACCGTTTAAGGAGATCAGTGGAATCTTTGAAGAAACAACATGATGGACATTATCCTTGTTGCTGTGCTTCTGCTCATTGCATTGCTGCTGCACTGGATAAAAACAGGTAATATATAGTTTTAATGCGAAATGAATCAGCACTGTCAGGTTAAATCCACATTAAACACTTCCATGTTATTGGTACATTGTGTTTTCTTCAGAAGAGCTGAATAACTTTACTTTGGGTTTGTAAGGAACAGCTAGATATTACAAGTATGGCATCCTTGAATATTTGATGTTCCTGGTTGCAGGTCCAACTCCGGAAACAGATCGACCAATACCACAAGATTGTAACAGAACTCAAAATATAGGATTTGGAGAAGCTCAACCTGTACCAGAAGGTGCCCCCGAGTGGCCTTCCACGCCCGTTAGGAGACGCCATGCATCTGGTCAAAGCACGTGCAAGAAAGTTGTCGAGGTGACACAATTCTTTTCTGTATCAACTGTATGATTGAAAGATATTTTAAAATGACAAAAAACAAACTGTTCAGCGTGAAGATGGCAAAACAAAAGTGACGCATCTGTTTCACTTATCTTAGATATTTAAGTTTCTTTAAATTCAAATGTTTCAGAATGAGTCTCCTGGAAGTTCTGGGAAAACTCACCGTCAAGATCGTGATTTCACCGATTCAAAAAAATGTAGAACAGGTCATGGAGAAGATGGCAATCATAAATCGTCTACTGTAACAGTTTGTACACCAGCATTATTTCCTGAACAGAGGAACCAATCTGAAGACAGAATTGACGAGTCTGATGTTGGAAAGATACCAGCAGTCCCTGACAAAGTCACTGGCAAGTGTTCCATTTAGTAATAACAGATAATAGGTTGTTTCTGTTATGGCATTCATTAAACACAAACATTATTTGGTCCAAAATGAACCAGAACTAGAACGATGTTCGTATGTCATGCCCGAATGGAAGCAGTACATTCATTACTTTTCACCGATTTTCCCAAACATTAAAATAGATTTAGGTCGTGACGATTATTATATCAATATTAAACTAATTGATCACTCATACGCTTCTTGAGACCATGAGCAACGGAAATGAACTAGGGTCTAACACACGGTGAACACACTGTTGAGATCAAGTAAAATAGTGACAATCATGCGTGTAGCTTTATTTTCACAACCCTTGCTCAATCCTACTTCCAGACTATAAAAAAAATAACAGAACTTGTCTGGCACATAAATCACATAGTTCCTCGGTCCTGTTAAAAAAACCCAACCCGTTCGTGCTCATTGTTTGAATTTCATTCTCAACTTGGGACCAAACATTGAAGAAGATCTCAGTGGATGGCCCTGTCAGTGACCTTGATAACAATAAGCCAAAGCATATTCATTAATTGCATGCAGCAACGGTCACAAAGTTACATAACAATGCAGAACATATTTTTATTTGGATATGCACTGTTACAAACCAGGTATTTTTAGTTAAGTCAGTGATTGTTATTCATAGTAAACAACTTTTGCCGTGTGATTTTGTGTTTAATGGAAGATAATCGTCAAATAGCGGGAGCCAAAATGTTAGTTGATGGACTATAATCTATCTGCACTGGATGAAAGCAGGTAATAGACAGTTTTTAATGTGAAATAAATCAGCACTGTCTGGTTAAATCCACATTGTTGCAGTGGAGACTAATGTACACCTACTATTTGCATTAACAATATACACTTCCTCATACTTATGGTGCATAGTGTTTTCTACAGAAGATCTGAATAACTTTACTTTAGGTTTGTAAGGAACTGAATGCCGACCCTACCAAGCTAGATATTACATGCTTGGCATCCTTGAATATCAGTTTGATATTCCTGGTTGCAGGTCCAACTCCGGAAACAGATCGGCCATTACCACAAGATTGTAACAGAACTCATAATCAGTGACCTTGATAACTGACATAAGCTAAAGCATATATAACAAAAGCTTTCTTCCTTGATTAATGATCGTGATATTTCATGAATCTATTTCAAGTGGCGAGGACAATAATTGGGTGTTTTCAAAATATTGAGGTCATATGTGGTACTTTTGCTTTTATCATGTAAACTCATTTCAGTGTAAATATTTTTAATTACAGGACATATGGCAACCCACAACGTTGTAACCAACTCTACTCATGTCACAATAGTAGGAGAAGCCCATGCCAGTGGAGATATAAATATCAGCACACATGAAAGACAAGGTAATGAATGCATCACGTTAGTATTATGGAACCATCGGTTAGGACATGTCTTGTAGACTATACAAATAATTACTCTTGAAGAGGTCCATATGCAAAAACAAGGACCCGATGACCTTACACCTGAGGTTGTCTGACTCGGTCAAAGGTAATCATTTTTGTAATTCCGAAGCCCACTTTAATGTTTAGGAAGCCCTTAAACCTTCAGCTGTGAAAACGTGAAATGTTAGTACCAGACGCAATATTGTTTTCTGGCAGACAAGACAATATAAATCACGTGACAGGATAATTCTGATCATTTAACGGGTCAATATGCAAGTCCAAGGTGTATTCCGCGGTCAAAACATCAAAATTCGTCGGTAAATGTTGGTAAATTTTGCAACAAATTTTGGAAAATTCTGCCTTCTTTTAAGTTTAGTCTTTGTGTAGTGTTTGTGACGAATTCTGCCGCAGATCAGTGCACAATTCTGCACGAATGGGATTTTCTGCAATATAGATACATTTCTGAACCGAGCGGGCATTTCTGCTAAATATTCGGCGACCTCAGAATACAGCAGGGTCTGATATTTGAGGTCATTGTCAGTCACATGATTTTGGGTCTCCATTGAAATATATTGTTTCATCATGTGGCACGGATCAACCAAAGGAATTGCAAGCTTTTAAAAAGAGGTACAACAATCAATAATAACAGTTTTGCTGTGATCATGTTCTTATTCATCATATTGTGATTGTCCTTTAGTATACCACCAAGAAGTAAGGGAAATGATGAAATGACAGTGAATGTGTAATGACGATAAATTATTTTTGTGATGTGTCCACGATGTTGGGCGATACATGCACCTTGACGGCATACTGTTGATTAACCTGCGTATGGTTGCCCTTGGTGTTGCCTTCCATTCCACCTGAAGACATGTCACAATTTAACTTCATCAACACGATCAATGAGACGCTGAATTGCCGCCATCTTTTTTTCCCCCGGGTGCCCTATTTGGGACATGACAGGGGACTTAGTTGGCCAGTCCGACGTCCATATGCCTACTCTTTGTCATCTTGCAGTTCAAAATTTCTGTCTATAATTCTAGCGAATGGAACTACGACAGGACGCACAGTTTCTTCAACATATCGCTGTCCAGTCATATTTCCATTCACAATAACCGAATCGGTTCGCCTGTCATGTGTGAGACCCTCCCTCACCATGACACTACCGCCCAAATAACAATCATGCTCATGAATTGTTGCTCTGGCATACCACTCGGCACAACGTCGCCAGCAACGTTTACTGCCATCTGTGAATCGTTGGCAATATCTTGACTTGACTGTAAACATGGCGTAAACTTTGTCTGTCCATTGTGACACTATCACGGAGACAATTTTAAGCATGTGTGTACCTTGGTTTCATTAATGCTTCCCCTACAGGTGCAAACACTTTTGAATGTTATATTATATACCACGATGAAGTTATGAGGTATAAAAACTAACAAGGGAAACAAAAAGCCCCAGATACCCAGAGTGCTAAAAAAAGGATCTTACCAACATTCAAACTGAAACAAATTCAAGATTGATAGGAAACAGCTGTTTCACTGATCTGAGGTTAACTTGCGCTACCTCTTGGGACTTCCATTGACTCAGGAAAAGCGTGTGGCTTTTTGCTTTAAAGCTGGGTATAAGGGATTTATTCTGATTCTTTTATTCTTATTCTCAGAAATCCACATGCTCATGGTGGGGTAGATTTATTACCCCGCTGAGAAATTTATTTTCCTCCAAGGCAGGATACAGAGTATTATATCAAGATCAAGTTTGCCAATCAGATCTCATCATTCTGACATGATGGTATGATAAATAAATATTTATATACAGTGTATTCATCACACCTCCATGTCAGAATGATGAGATCTGACTGAATGTGATCTTCTTATATTGCAATCCATGTGATGTTCCGGCTCATTGAACAAACTCTAATGGAGGACGCATAAAACTCCATGGACCCCTCGTGATCCTCGTGATAGATATATATCAAAAGTGTGAGCACCTGTAGGGGACTCACCATCACTAATGTACACTATGTATCCAGCCTTGGAGGGAAATATATTTCTCCGAATTTTACTTTTAAAGTAGTTGTAATAAAAATTCTAATTTTCACTTAAATTAAGTTTTAATATCATGTAAAACAATATTTGTTTTAGATGACTTCGGCCAAGAGATATACTTCCACACACAAAATGCTGTGCCAACTCCTGTCCTTGATCATACATTGGAGCTCCTGAAGAAGCATTCAACTGCCATCCTCACTGGCTGCCCTGGATCAGGAAAGACAGTCATGGCCTATATGGTTTTGAAAGCCATGATGAAAGACTATTGTCCTTGTGTAATGAAGTCAGCCAGTGACTTCAAAACAAGTATATATGGAAAAGAAAATGTGGTTATCTTCATTGATGATCTTTTTGGTTCAGTTACTTTTGAACAGTCACTTCTTACTGATTTGAGACCCTTTTTGAAGAACGTGCAACAACTAATACGAACAGAAAAGGTGAAGGTAATATTCACCACACGTATTAGTGTGCTTGAAGAGGCAATCCCTTTTCTAGACAGATCGCAATCTTTATTTAATCACAAATTAAGGGTAAACCTGTCAGCAAAAGGGTTCTTACCTGATGATATCATGATGGCAATGCTGAACAGCCATTTAAGAAGATCGGACAAACTGCACTTTGAGAAATCTCGTATGAAATCTATGATTGATAGCTTTGACAAGGATACAGCAGTTCATGGGTTTCCACATTGTTGTGAATTTCTTTTGACAAGTAAACATGCTCAAAACAACCCAGAATACTTTTTTGCACATCCACTTCAGGTGATGAAAAGCACGGTTACATCCCTTTTGAAGGAAAATAATAAAGTAGAGAAGTTGTTCAAGTTCCTGATTTTCAGCGATTGCATAGATTTAAGAAAACTTGAATGTGACAAACTTCAGTTGGAGAGGGCGGATGCTCGTGAGGTTATTGCTGCAATGACTGGGACGTTTCTGCGTTCTGAGGGACACCTGGTAAAATTCAAACATCCTTCACTGTATGAATGTACAGCAGCTGTGATTGGCAAGAATGACCCAGAATTTATTTTGAAGAGTGCAAAAATTGCCTACATTTGTAGATATGTACAGATATCTGATCCAAAGACTGCTGCTGCTGCTGCTGCTGATGATGATGATGATGATGATGATGACAGTATTATGCTTACTTTGAAAAACTACATGACTGAAGAACTTGTGGAGAGATTTGCGTCAGAGCTTACACACAGGTCATTCACGGTGTTATTCACTCACCCCCTCTGGAGGAATCTTGAGTTCAGCATCAGAGTAATTTCAGCAGCAGTTTCAAAGGATGGTAAAGATTGCATCATTTCATGGGATGGCAGCAGCAGAAGCTCTATGCTACACTGGGCAGCACGAATTCATTCCAAAGGCATATTTGAATATGTTTTCAATGGATATGAACATGACATATCAAATGAAGTGAAAGTAGATACAATCTATGGTTGCCTCATTTGGAGCAACATTGAGGGCCTAGAATACCTTTTGAAGAAATATCCTGATTGTACAGTTTCGGGGAATTTCGATGGGGCATCAGCTCTTAGTCTTGTTGCAAGAAGAGGAAGTGACAAAATGGTCCGGTTGCTAATGGAAAAAGGCATCGATATTAATGATAGAGATGACAGAGAAGCAACAGCCTTACATTGGGCAGCTGCAGCTGGAAACACAGAGGTGTTGGATACACTTATACAGGCTGGTTGTGACATTAATGCTGAGAATGGGGATAGTGCCACACCCCTACACTTTGCTGTGCTACATGGACACAGGGAATGTGTTGAAAGTTTAGTCGCAAAGGAATGTTCTCTAGATGTTGACATCCCAATGTTTACAGATGGTATGAATTCACAGGAACTCGAATTTTACGCTTGTCATGAATACAGAATTCCGGGGTTTTCAGGCACTCCTCTTCATATTGCATGTTTGAATCAGGATCCAGATCTAACAAAAATACTCCTAGCTGCCGGTGCTGATACCAATGCAGTGAATGGGTTTGGACTGACACCTCTTCATGCCACATTTCATCATGGAAATTCGAAATGTCTATCAATGCTTCTGAACAAGGGGGCCAACGTTAACATAAGGACTGACGCTGGATCTATATTTGATAAGGCAGTGTTTTGGGGGAAGATCGATCATTTCTTGAAACTGCTCAGCTGCCTGCCAAACTCCCAAAGATGGGTAACACCACTGACAAATGTGTCTGAAAGTTTAATCATTGACAATATACATCTTCATCACAACATTGTAGATGGTTACACGATTTTGCACCTTGCTGCACTCTCCCAGAATGTAAAACTAATGCAATCCTTACTGAACTATTCTACTGTGAATGTCCATGTTCGATCAGTCAGTGAATTCACGCCTTTCCTTGCTGCAGTTGCAACAGGCAATGTGGACATGATGGATATTCTCATTGCAGCTGGGTCTGACGTCAATCATCAAACATTTACAGGCAAAATGTCAGCCCTGTACTTAGCTTCGTCTAAGAATGATATTGCTACGGTTAAATACCTTTTGAATCATGGGGCCAATGTAGATCTAAAAGGAATGGATGACTCCACTGCATTACACTTAGCAATCCTCGTCGATCATCAAAACATGGTGAAACTGTTGATACAAAATGGAGCAAGAATAGATACAAAAGACCCCCTGGGAATCACGCCAATGCATTTGGCATGTAGAGCAGGTAACACTGAAATTCTTAACATGTTGTTGGAAAACAAAGCAGACATTAATGTTCCAAATGCTCTTGGGGAGCAACCTCTTTCAATTGCAGCATATTATGATAGCAGGGAAGTGGTAAATGTACTGATTTCAGCTGGTGTAGAAATTGATCATCTGGATAAAGAGAAATACGCGAATGCCCTCTTCCTGGCAGCTGATTCAGGATACTTTGAGATCGCTACATCACTTCTAAAAGCTGGAGCAAATCCCAACATCCGATGTGTATATGACCAAACACCACTCACCAAAGCAGCAGAATCTGGACATGAAAGACTTGTCAAGGCTTTAATACAGAATAATGGGGATGTGAACCACAAGGCAAAAGATGGAATGACACCTTTAATGCTGTCTATCTTGAATGGGCACACCTCTGTCGCCAGACATCTTTTGAAACATGAACAGATCAACCTACAATTAGAGGATATTGATGGCGATACAGCTTTACATTTTGCCTGCAGGCGTAACATGATTGAAGTTGTAAGAATGTTAACTGAAGTTGGTGTTGATGTCAATACTATCAACAACCAGGGCGAAACACCGCTGATAGCAGCAGTTCAGGGTCTTATTCAAGCTGGGGCAGATGTATCGGTGACAAAGAGTGGAGGACAACAAGTTTTCACTGCAGCTGTATCAAGTGGAAGAACTATTGTATTGGATAAACTGATACAGGCAGGAGCTGATTTAAATATGAAAGGGAAACATGGAAAGACAGCCCTACTGGCAGCTGCGAAAGAAGGTTCCTGTGAACTGGTTGGAGCACTTTTGGGTGCATCTGCTGATGTAAATATCACCAACATCTTCGGAGTTACACCTTTGTATGAGGCAGCAAGGAGGGGGCATTTGGACATTGTGAAGATGTTAGTGGATGCTGGAGCCGACATCCATGTAATCTTCTTTATGGAAAAAACTCCTCTTACTGTCGCTGCTCAGTATGGACGCTTAGATGTTGTGCAGTATTTGTTGGGAAAGGGGGCTGACGTTAATGGTGTTGATGCAGAGGAACGCACGGCTCTGTCCAGGGCCGTGTATGAAGGTCACATAGATGTCGTGATGGAACTGATTGGAAGTGGAATTAGTCCTGAATGTTTGGAGGGCGCCATCAATAGTTGTCGCTCTGGAGACATGATGGACATACTCCTGTCCCAGCTGACTTAATACATGTAGCACTTGTAAAACCACTGTGAACACACATTTGACAGGATACTGTTGTTGAGGATGTTTGGTGATCGACAAGCACACCTCTTACATTGGCAAATACATATCTGTTCATGCCTGAATTCTGCCTTATGAAGTAATGTCTAAGTTTGATATTATGCTTAAATGATGAATCTGCTCAGTATATGTTATTCTGTAGATATCATTGGTTGCATAGACATAATGCAGCCCACTCGACTTTTGATAGGGATATTTTCATCATTCTCTTAAGTGTTTTACAGTGATAGTTTTCATAACCATAATGGGGTTGTCACACATATAGTAGAACCCCCCTTCTGCAAAGACTTAATCATGAATGGTATCAAGTGCGTTTTATGGAAATGTTATACAAAAAGAATTAATATTATCTTCTTGATTTTGTGTTCCATATTAAGCTTCAAGACAGTCGGTTAAGTTTCAATGGTGTGTCAGTTGAGGTTTAAAAGTGGCATGGTTATTTGTGGGACGCTTCAATCTCTTTACACACCCGTCAAGGCTATTAGGTGGTACAAAACTTGACTAATGTTATTGTCAACCATATCATACCCAATACAAAAACCGATCATTCACATTACAACACCAAGACTCCTAGATATGCTCGAGGACGAAGGTCGAGTTTTGGTCGTTGGTTGATTTGAGGTGTAATATGAAAAGTATTAAATCCATTTATCCCACACCTTTTAAATGTCCACTGGACCACGCATTCAACAAACAATATTATGTAATTTTGAAGTATTATCACACTACCTTGTGTTGTGGAACAATGTTCTTATCTCATTTTGTTTCCAAATCCATCGGTGTAGGATTCCATGAAACCGCCCTTTCCCGATCGCCTCCTTCAAATTTCTTCACAAACATCATCCAGCTTCAATTTTCTATCACCATGGGAATTCAACTCTACACCTTCTATTGTGTATTGTGACCAAGTCGTCTGAAGCGCCATGATTATCTGTGCAGAGTTGGGAATTATCTGCGCGACTTGGGAAAGCCAGAAACCTATGGTCTTGGGTTCGAATCCTAGTTCTCCCCGATTTTCTTATAGGTTTGTCAGCACCCTACCTATGGTCGTGGGTTCGAATTCTGTTTCTCCCAATTTTATGTTTATAGGTATGTCAGCACCCTACCTATGGTCGTGGGTTCGAATCCCGGTTCTACCAATTTTATGTTTTTAGGTTTGTCAGCACCCTGCCTATGGCCGTGGGTTCGAATCCTGGTTCTCCCAATTTTATATTTTTAGGTTTGTCAGCACCCTACCTGTGGTCGTGTGTTCGAATTCTGTTTCTCCCAATTTTATGTTTATAGGTTTGCTAGCACCCTACCTGTGGTCGTGGGTTTCACAAAAGTGGTAACTGTCTGAGACATGCGTCACTTCCCTTCCCTGACACGCCATGTTCCAACTTGAATATTGTTCCAAACTGCGTTTAACCCAAGTCACTCACTCACTCTGTGGTGCCTAGCGTCACTTAAACTGATTTGTTCCAGGCATAAGGCTTTGTCTACAAGTCATGGTCTAGAAACATAATCGGGGCGAACCGGGATTCGAACCCACAATCATAGGATTCTGGCGTGCCCAAGGGACGCAACTCTGCACAGCGAATAGCGGCGCCTCAGACGACTGGGCCACCCGTGCCCTTATATCATTATGAAAGTTCATTGTAAGCAACACTTTGTATAAATGACGATATACATGATTCTGTCCCGAGAAGCTTGTAATTTGTCGATCCATGTACAATAATTCGACTGAATACAGATAGCTTTATTAGTTTCCTAGGTTCCAGTTTATTGTGGTTGTTGTGGTTGTTGTTGTTGTTGTGGTTGTTGTGGTTGTTGTTGTGGTTGTTGTGGTTGTTGTTGTTGTTGTTGTGGTTGTTGTGGTTGTTGTGGTATGGGATCGGATGGACTGGACATGGACTTGAAGTCTTCAGGTTCTGCCAGCGTTTAAATAATATGCCAGACACAGATTCCTTAGATGTAATCATGTGGCCAGAGGTCACTCGTGTGTATAAATTAGCGAGAAGGTTGCATACTTATTCCCTAGTTTCGTACAGTCTACCACCAGTACCTCTCAGTGATAGAGTGTGCCCTTTCAGTCAGTATAGAAGGAGAAATACAATTCCCACTAGATTGTGACATGTTCACGGACTTACAGTGTGACATGATCCCATATTTTAAAAACTCTTCATCCGTTGACATGCTCATGCTATTGTTTGTTTGTTGTTTAATGCCGCACACAGCAATATTCCAGCTATATGACGGCGGTCTGTACCAACCGAGGTCTGGACCAGACAAAATTATAGTGATTGACATCATGAGCATCGATCCACGCAATTGGGATACAATGACCCCCGATCCCGTTGGTCTCTTACGGCAAGCATGGGTTGCTGAAGATCTATTCTAATCCGAGTCTTCACACGTAAAATGTTCATGCACCACTTAATTACGCCAGCGTTACGTTTGACATTGCAATACCGCACCTCGTAATTACGCCAGCGTTACGTTTGACATTGTAATACCGCACCTCTTAATTACGCCAGCGTTACGTTTGACATTGCAATACCGCACCTCTTAATTACGCCAGCGTTACGTTTGACATTGCAATACCGCACCTCTTAATTACGCCAGCGTTACGTTTGACATTGCAATACCGCACCTCGTAATTACGCCAGCGTTACGTTTGACATTGCAATACCGCACATCTTAATTACGCCAGCGTTACGTTTGACATTGCAATACCGCACCTCGTAATTACGCCAGCGTTACGTTTGACATTGTTATACCGCACATCTTAATTACGCCAGCGTTACGTTTGACATTGCAATACCGCACATCTTAATTACGCCAGCGTTACGTTTGACATTGCAATACCGCACATCTTAATTACGCCAGCGTTACGTTTGACATTGCAATACCGCACCTCTTCATTACGCCAGCTTTACGTTTGACATTGTAATGCCATTTCAACAACGTTAACTGTTTTCTTGCCTGTTTTACATGTACGATATTTTTGCTCTTATTATAATATATGTATAGTATTTGTAGGAACTGGGAATATGATGTGTATAATGTTTAAAGTAAGTTTGTATGTTGGTGAATGTGAGTATGTATGTGCATGCATGTATGTAACGGTATGTAACTCAAAATATAAAGAACACCCATTTCATTCATATAAATGTAGTTAATCGGTCATGACATGATAGATTAACTAATAATATTAAAGAATAGGGTGTACTTTTAATTCTGTTGAGTAACATACATAAAGCATATCATTACATACCATTAAATACACGCAAGCACATTCAGTGTGTGTGTGTCGGCGTTCGTGTGTATGTGTATGTTGGCGCAGGGACACGTACGTATTGTATGGTCTATATTTTAAGGTTTGTATTTAATTCAATTTAATAACCTCCGGGTGGTTTCTGTTTATCCGAGCTTCTTACTGTATTTAAATCTGTTTTAAATCTATCTTGAAGAAAGAAAGAAAATAAATGAATTTTTATTCACACAATCTGCTGGAATTGAATAAGTCGCCTTGAACAATACACTAATATGGAAGCTTTTTTAATGTTGGGTGATGGTTCGATGTAACTGAATAAAAAAAGTTGAATAAAAATAAGGGTACATTGATAGTCTGAATCAATAAATTCAACATCTTTGTCATACAATTAGCTTACCATTTTATTATAGTTACTATAGTTTTGTTTGTACACAGAATGATATGATAATTAAAATAAATTTAAAAGAAGATATCTTTTCATGTGATGTATTATTACGGTTTCTTTGAAGCAAGTGTCGTTGTACCTCCTGTCCATGGGATGTGACCTAGCACATTATTTCGGGGATAACTCTTGACTTTATTTATTAAGGTCCTGCCTGTTTAATAAAAGGAGGGGATTCAAACTCCGAACTTGTTAGATACAGGAACCAGTCCCACACAGTGGATGATGACGTATTTTTTGTTGTTGTTTAACCCCTATTACGGCTGACAAACCAGTGAAATTACGATCAATGTCTGATATGTCGGGTTGCGATTACACACACTGGATGCTTAGGGCCTCTTTTAACCCGGAATCTCCACAGGGGGGTGGTTGAATGGTTGGTTGGTTGGTTGGTTTGTTGTTTTACGCCGCATTCAGCAATATTCCAGCTATATGACGGCGGTCTGTAAATAATCGGGTCTGGGCCAGACAATCCAGTGATTGACATCATGAACATCGATCCACGCAGTTGGGATCGATGACATGCATCAACCAAGTCAGTGAGCCTAACCACCCGCTTCCGTTGGTCGCCTTTTACGGCAAGCATGGGCTGCTGAAGGCCTGTTCTATCCCGGATCTTCACGGGTCACAGGGGGATGAATGACTATGCGTCACTTGATCTTGATCCATCCGAAGCTTCATCTTGAAGTGAGTGAGTTAATGAGTAAGTGAGTTAGTGAGTTAGTGAGTCAGGGGTATTGCTGAACGCAATATAAATATATTCGATTACTAAAAGGGCGGCCAGTAAATTGGTTTAGTTTGTTGTTTAACGCCACACTCACCAATCTTACAGCTATATGACGGCAGTCTGTAAATAATCGAGTCTGGACCAGAGAGTCCAGTGATTGAGCATCGATCCATGCGTTTGGGTGGCCAGTAAATAATCTGGGTACGAGGACATGCAATCAGGCAAGAGCCTGGCTACCCGAACCTCAATTTGGTCTGTTAATACAAATATGAGGTTCTGGGGACCTATTCCGAAATGAATTGTTCGGCCATGTATTACTGTTCCGGGATTGTCAAATGACGGTGCAGGTCCGTCGATCAAATCTTGAATACTAATGCTTAATAAACAAACGTAAACATACTCGCTCTGTAGAATGGTCATTTAGGATCTATACTGTTTGACTACCTATTATAGAAGAGTGAAATACTGATTCGTTTAAAATATTACACAAATGAAGTATACATAGAACCAAGTTAAGGTTTCGATGTGCGTGATCCACATTCAACAACGCTGTGCATTTTCAACACAGGTAAATAAGATATATGGACACAACATTGAAGTTTAAAAAAAGAGGAGGGACGGACGGCGAACACGTCACATCATCATATATAACGTTTAACGCCGCACTCAGCCATATTTAAGGTATATAATTGCCTCTTGATCAGACAGACAATTATTATTCAATAAATATTTCAGTGATTAATATTATCAGCAATTTTACATGCTAGGGTATCATCACATGCAACATGTAACGCATGTAACCTATCCAGTGAGTGAGTGAATGAGTATTGTTTTTAGCAATATTCCAGCAATATCACGGCAGGGGACACCAGAAATGGGCTTCACATATTGCACCCATGTCGGGAATCGAACCCAGGTCTTCGGCGTGACGAGCGAACGCTTTAACCACTAGGCTACCCCACCACCCTGACCTATCAAGTGGCCTCTTTATAAGCACAGGATGCTGGGGAACAATTCTAGCCCGTCATCCCGTTTAACAGTTGCCATAACAGTGCCGAAAAAACAAACACGATCCCATGAAGAAATCAACTGCTTTATTTTTACCAAAGACCTGTATACATATGCTTGATACAATACGTACAGGATGCACCATTAGCCCTGAAGTAGCATAATCAGCTGATATGCTGAGTATCAGCGGCTCAGGGTGGTCGTAAGGTCCTATTGAGATAGGTGTTACAGAAGAAATGTCTACCGGGAACAGTTTTCAGATATGTCTGAACTTTAAAAGGGTGCAGAAATACCCGTTTAGGGTTATACATTGATATATATTTATCTCTGTTGCCCCACAAACCACCGTCTGTCACAAAATGTATGTTCTGCCATCTCTGCAAACCAAGGGCAATATTTGCAAACCCTATCTCTATCATGACTTTATGTTTCAATAACAAATTTGCCATACTTGTGAAATTGTCTTTAAAAGTGGCTGGTGTATACATAAAGTCACATGTCTGAATGAACAAATTTGTAAAATTCCGGGAAATATTTTGAAAATTTTGTAAGAAACGATATTCAAGACCCCTCTCAGATCCGTGTTCTGCAATATTCCGTATTTCGTTTAAAACCGCCTGTATTCTGGGTTTCACCTTACTCCACCATCCCCATCGAGGTTTCAGTTCGTCGAGAGAAGCATTAGCCCTCCGGAAGCTGTTAAGAAGCCATATCTTGTCACGTGGTTGCGAGTACAAATTCCAAGGATTAATCAGTGTGTCGTCGCCGATCTGTAAGAATCCTTTCACATCCAGGTTTAGTTTCATGGCTTCCACCGTGCATTCATACATATAGTACCATCCTCTCTTGAATGCTTCTACATAAAGAAAATGTCCTGTGGTGAAATTACTGACAAATTTCTTAAATGCCTTCAGTTTCGGCCCACAGTAAATAATGTTTGGAAAATATGGTCGATACATTGCCTCCAAACTCTGTATATTTTTATAAAATCTCGGAACATTGAATGTGATGATAAGTGCTATATCATCAATGATCTTTAGTGGAAACCTAATGTCGGCTCCTGGACACAGTTCCTTCAAATACCTGTAGGCAAATTTGTTAAATAAACTGTTTGCCAGTGGTGTCTTCAGAAGTCCTATGGTTGTCGCACGATTCAGTGTTCGTTGTCGAAATTGGCGAGCGGGAATGTCATAGCTATTTTTTCTCAACTCGGAAATCCATTCCGTCAACCAAACTACATTCTTCAAAGGAACCAGTCGTTCTGATCCAATTCTGTTTATCACATTACCCAAACAATATAGCAAATCAGAATTCACTGTGCATTTCCATGACCGTAGAAGATCTGCGATCCACATTCTCCTCATGACAAATCTCCGTTGATTCCGTAATGAAGATACAGGGACTGGATGAATCCCTACCATTCCATCCAATTCCCACACGAACCTCTGTACTATCAGATCCCCGATGTCAACATCCAACAGAGGCAGAGCCCAGAATGCATCATACCGGAAGACGGTCATTTCAGAACTAAGGGAGGTAAACGTGTTGCGCGGAAGAAACACAGGCGGGTGTTGACTGCTGGAATGAAAGTACGTCCGTTTATCAGGACAGATTCCATTCTTCACACACCCAAATGGACCAGACAGAATCAGGGGACGAACACGTGTTTCGATATAATAATCAAACATAGTGAATTCTCTTTCTGCCGTTGCTGCACTCATCATATCTTTTTTGGACACAGACGGGTCAACAAAGGTTTGGTTTGTCTTCAGAACTATTCCGGTCTGAGACTGATGGGCAGCCATTCGTCGTAACACGTGCAACATATGGGAGTCCAAGTGGCGGACAACACCAATGACTTTAGCGTCGTGGGATATAGCATAAGTATAAGCTTGCAGTCTCCTGCGTGTCCATGTCTCAGAACCTGCCTGTGGTGTGTTGAAATGATCTGTCCCGCGGCCAGAGCACCATGGAAACCTGCGTCAAAAACAAAGAGTCACATATACCACTCAAACAAATTAAAGAACATATGACATGACAGATTAACTGTAGTCATGTGTTCTTTAAAGTCTTTTGAGTAGTATAGATTACAGATATACATGTCAGAGATTGTTTTCCGTTTTGAGCGTTCATACCTAGGGATCATAGGGTCGTTTATTAAATGCTGTTTAGATTCAAAGTCATTCAGAGTGTGATTTAGTTGGGCTTTACGCCGCTTTAAATTATCAAATTTTAATTATTCCAGTTTAATCACGACGTGTGAGCTTCATGTGGACGGAAAGCCCACAGCGAGGCCGGGCTACAGGGAAGCAGCGAAGTGCGTCAAAGTAACATATATTTAAGAGTGAGTGAGTGAGTTTGGTTTAACGCCGCTTTTAACAGTTTTCCAGTTATATCACGGCGTGTCAGCTTAATGTGGGAGGAAAGCCTGAAGTGATGCAGGTCTCAGAAGTTTACCAAACAAACTTAGAAACAAAATCGGGGCGAACCGGGATTCGAACTCTAAATCATTGGTTTCTGGCGTACCCAAGGGACGCAACTCTGCGCAGGCCACTCGTGTCCCCCATATATTCAAGACAGACAAAAAGCAGAAAATGCACTTTTAGTTGCATACATGCTCACTTCAAAAAGAAAAGCACACCCTAAAGTATGAAATGTCCGAAAACGAAAAGGTGTATATACTACCTTTTCGGACATGAAATAGTTTAGGGTGTGAGTTTGTTTTGGAAGTGAAAGTTATATATTATATATTTGCAATGCAAATTCAATTGTTTCAATGACTACATTTTGCACCCTCAAACACGCGTTGCTAGTAGGTTTACCAGTCCGGACTGTATAAACAAGTGATGCGTCTGTAAAGGTTCGTACACATCATACAGATTGTAAGTTGTATGATATATATTTACCTGCAATGTTCCATTGTCTCTTTGGTGTGTTGAAGTACTATTATTTTCCATCCAGATACGTTAGCCACATCAGAAGCTATCGACGTCGTCACAATCCACTTGTCATGACGAGGGGTATGTCTAAATGAACAAAATATTGTTAGGTTATCATCAAGTATATTAAAAGTGTGTTATTGTGTGCATGAAAAAGGACAATGTCTTGTAAATTGGTCCGGGATCGAGGGGGTTCAGTTCACTTAGTCACGGAACTTGTCGGTCAGATCAATTTAGCCAGCTCTTTCCACCCACACACGTTGCTTGAATGTTTTGTTTGTCTGTTTGTTTGTTGTTTAACGCCGCACTCAGAACTAGTCCAGCTATACGACGGCGGTCTGTAATAATAATTATTTACAGACCGCCCTCATACAGCTGGAATACTGCGGAGTACGGCGTTAGACAACAAACAAACAAAACATTCTGATAACGGGGAAGACTATAACGAAGTATTCTCATTATACATTAGCTACATACTGCCCTTGGGCAAGCTCATGATACAAACAAACAAACAAACTCTAAGGGCAAGCTTAGGTTACTGAAGACCTATTCTAACCCGGATCTTCACAAGTTGAACCAACAAGTACGAGTATTGTGACAACAAACCATATCATATCACAATCTAGGCGATTCTGGGACTCGACCCACGACCAACAGACCCCTTCCAAACAAACACAAGCGTCTCTAGTGCTGGATTGTGTAACAAAGCTAAGGACATGTCTACTCAATTACTTGTTTTTTCGAGATGCTTTACTGCTAATGAGTGGAATTCCAATGTGAAGGAGGTCACGAGTTACTTTGTGTCCTCCAGCATCTTAGTATGGCTAGATGTCTATTGTTAACACATCAGTGGTAACTGGGTGATGGTGCTGAGGCAGTGTGATGCAGCTATACCTACTGGTGTGTGATGCAGCTATACCTGCTTGGGTGGGATACAGCTATATCGCTATATCTACTGGCGTGTAATGTAGCTATACCTACTGGTGTGATATGCAGCTGTACCTACTGGGGTATGATGCAGCTATATCGCTATACCTACTGGTGTGTGATGCAGCTATACCTACTTGTGTGTGATGCAGCTATACCTACTGGAGTGTGATGCAGCTATACCTACTGGGGTGTGATGCAGCTATACCCACTGGGGTGTGATGCAGCTATACCTACTGGGGTGTGATGCAGCTATATCGCTAAATCTACTGGGGTGTGATGAAGCTATATCGCTATAGCTACTGGCGTGTGATGCAGCTATATCGCTATACTTACTGGGGTGTGATGCAGCTATATCGCTATACCTACTGGGGTGTGATGAAGCTATACCTACTGGTGTGATATGCAGCTATACTTACTGGGGTGTGATGCAGCTATATCGCTATACCTACTGGTGTGATATGCAGCTATATCTACTGGGGTGTGATGCAGCTATACCTACTGGCGTGTGATGTAGCTATATCGCTATACCTACTGGTGTGATATGCAGCTATATCTACTGGGGTGTGATGCAGCTATACCTACTGGCGTGTGATGTAGCTATATCGCTATACCTACTGGTGTGTGATGTAGCTATACCTACTGGGGTGTGATGCAGCTATACCTACTGGGTTGTGATGCAGCTATACCTACTGGGGTGTGATGCAGCTATACCTACTGGGGTGTGATGCAGCTATATCGCTATATCTACTGGGGTGGGATGAAGCTATATCGCTATATCTACTGGCGTGTGATGCAGCTATATCACTATACCTACTGGGGTGTGATGCAGCTATACCTTCTTTAGTGTGATGCAGCTATATCGATATACCTACTGGTGTAATATGCAGATATACCTACTGGGGTGTGATGCAGCTATATCGCTATACCTACTTCGGTGTGATCAAGCTATACCTACTGGTGTGATATGCAGCTATACCTACTGGGGTGTGATGCAGCTATATCGCTATACCTACTGGTGTGTGATGCAGCTATACCTACTGTGGTGTGATGCAGCTATACCTACTGGGGTGTGATGCAGCTATACGTGCTGGTGTGTGATGCAGGTATACCTACTGGGGTGTGATGCAGCTAAACCTACTGGCGTGTGATGCAGCTATACTTACTGGGGTGTGATGCAGCTATATCCCTACATCTGCTGGGGGGTGAGGCAGCTATATCACTATACCTACTGGGGTGTGATAAAGCTATACCTCCTGGGGTGTGATGCAGCTATACCTACTTGGGTGTGATGCAGCTATACCTACTGGGGTGTGATGCAGCTATACCCACTGGGGTGTGATGCAGCTATACCTACTGGCGTGTGATGCAGCTATATCGCTATACCTACTGGGGTGTGATGCAGCTATACCTACTTGTGTGTGATGCAGCTATACCTACTGGGGTGTGATGCAGCTATACCTACTGGGGTGTGATGCAGCTATATCGCTATACCTACTGGGGTGTGATGCAGCTATACCTACTGGGGTGTGATGCAGCTATATCTACTGGTGTGTGATGCAGCTATATCGCTATACCTACTGGGGTGTGATGCAGCTAGAGCTATTTGGGTGTGATGCATCTATACCTACTGAGGTGTGATGGAGTTATACCCACCGGGGTGTGATGTAGCTATACCTACTGGGGTGTGATGCAGCTATACCTACTGGGGTGTGATGCAGCTATACCTACTGGGGTGTGATGCAGCTATATCGCTATACCTACTGGTGTGTGATGCAGCTATACCTACTGGTGTGTGATGCAGCTATACCTACTGGAGTGTGATGTAGCTATACCTTCTTTAGTGTGATGCAGCTATATCGATATACCTACTGGTGTAATATGCAGATATACCTACTGGGGTGTGATGCAGCTATATCGCTATACCTACTTCGGTGTGATGAAGCTATACCTACTGGTGTGATATGCAGCTATACCTACTGGGGTGTGATGCAGCTATATAGCTATACCTACTGGTGTGTGATGCAGCTATACCTACTGGGGTGTGATGCAGCTATACGTGCTGGTGTGTGATGCAGGAATACCTACTGGGGTGTGATGCAGCTAAACCTACTGGCGTGTGATGCAGCTATACCTACTGGGGTGTGATGCAGCTATATCCCTACATCTGCTGGGGGGTGAGGCAGCTATATCACTATACCTACTGGGGTGTGATGCAGCTATACCTCCTTGGGTGTGATGCAGCTATACCTACTTGGGGGTGATGCAGCTATACCTACTGGGGTGTGATGCAGCTATACCCACTGGGGTGTGATGCAGCTATACCTACTTGGGTGTGATGCAGCTATATCGCTATACCTACTGGGGTGTGATGCAGCTATACCTACTTGTGTGTGATGCAGCTATACCTACTGGGGTGTGATGCAGCTATACCTACTGGGGTGTGATGCAGCTATATCTACTGGGTTGTGATGCAGCTATATCGCTATACCTACTGGGGTGTAATGCAGCTATATCACTATATCTACTGGTGTGTGATGCAGCTATATCGCTATACCTACTGGTTTGTGATGCAGCTATACCTACTGCGATGTGATGCAGCTATTTCGCTATACCTACTGGTGGCTGATGCAGCTATACCTACTGGTGTGTGATGCAGCTATACCTACTGGGATGTGATGCAGCTATACCTACTGGGGTGTGATGCAGCTATATCGCTATACCTACTGGTGTGTGATGCAGCTAAACCTTCTTGTGTGTGATGCAGCTATACCTACTGGGGTGTGATGCAGCTATATCTACTGGGGTGTGATGCAGCTATATCGCTATACCTACTGGGGTGTAATGCAGCTATATCACTATATCTACTGGTGTGTGATGCAGCTATATCGCTATACCTACTGGTTTGTGATGCAGCTATACCTACTGCGATGTGATGCAGCTATTTCGCTATACCTACTGGTGGCTGATGCAGCTATACCTACTTGCGTGTGATGCAGCTATACCTACATGGATGGGATGCAGCTATATCGCTACATCTACTGGTGTGTGATGCAGCTATATCACTATACCTACTGGGATGTGATGAAGCTATACTTACTGGGGTGTGATGCAGCTATATCGCTATACCTACTGGGGTGTGATGCAGCTATACCTACTGGGGTGTGATGCAGCTATACTTACTGGGGTGTGATGCAGCTATATCCCTACATCTGCTGGGGGGTGAGGCAGCTATATCACTATACCTACTGGGGTGTGATAAAGCTATACCTCCTGGGGTGTGATGCAGCTATACCTACTTGGGTGTGATGCAGCTATACCTACTGGGGTGTGATGCAGCTATACCCACTGGGGTGTGATGCAGCTATACCTACTGGCGTGTGATGCAGCTATATCGCTATACCTACTGGGGTGTGATGCAGCTATACCTACTTGTGTGTGATGCAGCTATACCTACTGGGGTGTGATGCAGCTATACCTACTGGGGTGTGATGCAGCTATATCGCTATACCTACTGGGGTGTGATGCAGCTATACCTACTGGGGTGTGATGCAGCTATATCTACTGGTGTGTGATGCAGCTATATCGCTATACCTACTGGGGTGTGATGCAGCTAGAGCTATTTGGGTGTGATGCATCTATACCTACTGAGGTGTGATGGAGTTATACCCACCGGGGTGTGATGTAGCTATACCTACTGGGGTGTGATGCAGCTATACCTACTGGGGTGTGATGCAGCTATACCTACTGGGGTGTGATGCAGCTATATCGCTATACCTACTGGTGTGTGATGCAGCTATACCTACTGGTGTGTGATGCAGCTATACCTACTGGAGTGTGATGTAGCTATACCTTCTTTAGTGTGATGCAGCTATATCGATATACCTACTGGTGTAATATGCAGATATACCTACTGGGGTGTGATGCAGCTATATCGCTATACCTACTTCGGTGTGATGAAGCTATACCTACTGGTGTGATATGCAGCTATACCTACTGGGGTGTGATGCAGCTATATAGCTATACCTACTGGTGTGTGATGCAGCTATACCTACTGGGGTGTGATGCAGCTATACGTGCTGGTGTGTGATGCAGGAATACCTACTGGGGTGTGATGCAGCTAAACCTACTGGCGTGTGATGCAGCTATACCTACTGGGGTGTGATGCAGCTATATCCCTACATCTGCTGGGGGGTGAGGCAGCTATATCACTATACCTACTGGGGTGTGATGCAGCTATACCTCCTTGGGTGTGATGCAGCTATACCTACTTGGGGGTGATGCAGCTATACCTACTGGGGTGTGATGCAGCTATACCCACTGGGGTGTGATGCAGCTATACCTACTTGGGTGTGATGCAGCTATATCGCTATACCTACTGGGGTGTGATGCAGCTATACCTACTTGTGTGTGATGCAGCTATACCTACTGGGGTGTGATGCAGCTATACCTACTGGGGTGTGATGCAGCTATATCTACTGGGTTGTGATGCAGCTATATCGCTATACCTACTGGGGTGTAATGCAGCTATATCACTATATCTACTGGTGTGTGATGCAGCTATATCGCTATACCTACTGGTTTGTGATGCAGCTATACCTACTGCGATGTGATGCAGCTATTTCGCTATACCTACTGGTGGCTGATGCAGCTATACCTACTGGTGTGTGATGCAGCTATACCTACTGGGATGTGATGCAGCTATACCTACTGGGGTGTGATGCAGCTATATCGCTATACCTACTGGTGTGTGATGCAGCTAAACCTTCTTGTGTGTGATGCAGCTATACCTACTGGGGTGTGATGCAGCTATATCTACTGGGGTGTGATGCAGCTATATCGCTATACCTACTGGGGTGTAATGCAGCTATATCACTATATCTACTGGTGTGTGATGCAGCTATATCGCTATACCTACTGGTTTGTGATGCAGCTATACCTACTGCGATGTGATGCAGCTATTTCGCTATACCTACTGGTGGCTGATGCAGCTATACCTACTTGCGTGTGATGCAGCTATACCTACATGGATGGGATGCAGCTATATCGCTACATCTACTGGTGTGTGATGCAGCTATATCACTATACCTACTGGGATGTGATGAAGCTATACTTACTGGGGTGTGATGCAGCTATATCGCTATACCTACTGGGGTGTGATGCAGCTATACCTACTGGGGTGTGATGCAGCTATATCGCTATATCCACTGGCGTGTGATGCAGCTATACCTACTTGTGTGTGATGAAGCTATACTTACTGGGGTGTGATGCAGCTATACCTACTGGGGTGTGATGCAGCTATACCTACTGGGGTGTGATGCAGCTATACCTACTGGGGTGTGATGCAACTATACCTACTGGGGTGTGATGCAACTATACTTACTGGGGTGTGATGCAGCTATATCGCTATACCTACTGGGGTGTGATGCAGCTGTACCTACTGGGGTGTGATGTAGCTATATCTACTGGAGTGTGATGCAGCTATACCTACTGGCGTGTGATGTAGCTATATCGCTATACCTACTGGTTTGTGATGTAGCTATACTTACTGGGGTGTGATGCAGCTATACCTACTGGGGTGTGATGCAGCTATACCTACTGGGTGTGATGCAGCTATACCTACTGGGGTGTGATGCAGCTATACCTACTGGGGGTTGATGCAGCTATATCGCTATATCTACTGGTGTGTGATGAAGCTATACCTACTTGTGTGTGATTGGCTGCGAATGCACGTCCGACCCGACGTACTGTAGAGAGATGCTGTCCGACCAGCTGTCGTAAACCGACACCAACAGGAACAACACTGCCACCACCATGATGAACAACACTTTCGTAGCTGACAAACAGATGACAAAATAGTACGTTGAGTCACTTGAAATGAAAAATAACAAGTGCTTGCACTGAGGTGGCCATATCGTGGAGATGTTTTAACGCCGCTTTGATCCAAGTTATATCAAGGAGTGTCAGCTTGATGTGGGAGGAAAGCCCAAAGGGATAGAGGTCTCGGACGTTTACCACTTCGGTGAAACCAACCAGCACGGGTATGGTGCTAAAAATCCAGAAACATAATCGGGGTGAAATGGGATTTGAACCAATGGTCTTTGGTTTCTGACGCGCCCAAGGGACGCAACTCTGCACAGCGAATTGCAGCTACGTGGATGACTGTGTCACCTGTGGCTCCGAATAATGTTGGGTAGTATTTCACCCGTCTTACTACGATCCATCAGTTATTTTCAGAGTATACTTGGTTTACCCTGAACAACAGACGGAAGTAGGATGTGCTGAACTGTTTCCAAGGGTTTGAATGCGAGTGCATAGCAGTGTACTGTGGCACTGATGCCTTTTTTTACCTTTCAGAAGGAACTCTTCCTAATCTGGACCAAACAAAACAGTGATGGCATCATGAGCATCGGTGACATGCTTCAGTAAGTGGGTGAGTGAGGTATATGGATTTAACGCCGCTTTTAACAGTATTACAGTTATATCGTGGTATGCCAGCTTAATGTGGGATGAAGGCCTGAAGTGATGCAGGTCTCAGACAATTACTACTTTGGTGAAACCCACGAGCACGGGTATGGTGCTAACAAACCTAGAAACATAATCGGGGCGAACCGGGATTCGAACCCACAATCAGGTTTCTGGCGTGCCTAAGGGACGCAACTCTGCACAGTGAATCGAGGCGCCTCGGACGACTGGGCCACCCGTGCCCCCGTGACACGCATCAACTAAGTCAGCGAGCCTGACCACACGATCCCGTTAGTCGCCTCTTTACAGCAAGCATTGGTTGCTGGATACCTATGCTAACCCGAATTTTCTAACCCGGAATATTGCTGAGCTCGGCTTTAAACAACAAATAACAACAACTATGCAAATAACTATACAACAATAACCATGCAACACTGACAAAACGTGTTATATATAATGTATTTACCTGAAAGCGACAACATTGTCAGTCGCGCGGCACGTCCTTGCGGGCTAACTCTTCGGGTTAAATTATTCACTGAGCACGTACAGCATCAGACGATTTCCGAAGGGACCCTGTTTCTCAGTGGCAGTGAAAAACCCATTTTTGCCATAATGCTTTCATAGATATCTCCTTTGTAAATGAGTGTTTAACAATATGAAAGTCACAATAACTGGTATGACATCAACACGTTTTTGGGTCTGTGAACTGGCGTCTTAATTCTGAATTTCCCTTTCGGGTCTCAAATTGAAATATGCACTTTTGTGGCTCGAGCATGGGAAAAGCATGCAGAGCGTGCAGTCTGCACTGGAAGTGAGGTGTGGACTTTCGTGCTCAGTGAGCGTTTTGGACGAAAGTGACAATAAACCGAAAAGATGATTGCAAAATGTTTAATAGTGTATATATTCAACTGTATGAGTTTTTTAAAAATGTTTTTGACACTCTATCATTTCAAAAGACAATTGAGCTAATAGCAACTACTTTTGCTGTAATCTTAAAGCAGAGTCCGTTGTACCATTTCCAATATGTCATAAAGCATAAATACGACACCGACTGTATCATAAGCATAAATACGACACCGACTATATCATAAGCATAAATACGACAGCGACTATATCATAAGCATACATACGACACCGACTATATCATAAGCATAAATACGACAGCGACTATATCATAAGCATACATACGACACCGACTATATCATAAGCATAAATACGACACCGACTATATCATAAGCATCAGTACGACACCGACTATATCATAAGCATCAGTACGACACCCACTATATCATAAACATAAATACGACACCGACTATATCATAAGCATCAGTACGACACCGACTATATCATAAGCATACATACGACACCGACTATATCATAAGCATAAATACGACACCGACTATACCATAAGCATACATACGACACCGACTATATCATAAGCATAAATACGACACCGACTATATCATAAGCATCAATACGACACCGACTATATCATTAGCATCAGTGCGACACTGACTATATCATTAGCATCAGTACGACACCGACTATACCATAAGCATACATACGACACCGACTATATCATAAGCATAAATACGACACCGACTATATCATAAGCCTCAATACGACACCGACTATATCATTAGCATCAGTGCGACACTGACTATATCATTAGCATCAGTACGACACCGACTATACCATAAGCATACATACGACACCGACTATATCATAAGCATACATACGACACCGACTATATCATAAGCATCAGGCCGACACCGACTATATCATAAGCATCAGTGCGACACTGACTATATCATTAGCATCAGTACGACACCGACTATACCATAAGCATACATACGACACCGACTATATCATAAGCATAAATACGACACCGACTATATCATAAGCATCAGTACGACACCCACTATATCATAAGCAAAAATACGACACCGACTATATCATAAGCATAAATACGACACCGACTATAGCATAAGCATAAATACGACACCGACTATATCATAAGCATACATACGACACCGACTATATCATTAGCATCAGTACGACACCGACTATATCATAAGCATAAATACGACACCGACTACATCATAAGCATACATACGACACCGACTATATCATAAGCATCAGTGCGACACCGACTATATCATAAGCATAAATACGACACCGACTATATCATAAGCATACATACGACACCGACTATATCATAAAGCATAAATACGACAGCGACTATATCATAAGCATAAATACGACACCGACTATATCATAAGCATCAGTGCGACACTGACTATATCATTAGCATCAGTACGACACCTACTAGACCATGAGCATCAGTGCGACACCGACTATATCATAAAGCATAAATACGACACCGACTATATCATTAGCATAAATACGACACCTACAAGACCATGAGCATCAGTGCGACACCGACTATATCATTAGCATACATACGACACCGACTATATCATTAGCATACATACGACACCGACTATATCATAACCATCAGTACGACACCGACTATACCATAAGCATAAATACGACACCGACTAGACTATGAGCATCAGTGCGACACCGACTATATCATAAGCATAAATACGACACCGACTAGACCATGAGCATAAATACGACAGCGACTATATCATAAACATAAATACGACACCGACTATATCATAAGCATCAGTACGACACCGACTATATCATAAGCATCAGTACGACACTGACTATATCATAAGCATACATACGACACCGACTATATCATTAGCATCAGTGCGACACCGACTATATCATAAGCATCAGTACGACACCGACTATACCATAAGCATACATACGACACCGACTATATCATAAGCATCAGTACGACACCGACTATATCATCAGCATAAATACGACACCGACTATATCATAAGCATAAATACGACACCGACTATATCATAAGCATACATACGACACCGACTATATCATCAGCATAAATACGACACCGACTATATCATAAGCATAACTACGACTACGACTATATCATAAGCATACATACGACACCGACTATATCATAAGCATCAGTACGACACCGACTATATCATAAGCATACATACGACACCGACTATATCATAAGCATCAGTATGACACCGACTATATCATAAGCATAAATACGACACCGACTATATCATAAGCATAAATACGACTACGACTATATCATAAGCATACATACGACACCGACTATATCATCAGCATAAATACGACACCGACTATATCATAAGCATCAGTACGACACCGACTATGTCACAAGCATAAATACGACACCTACTGTATCATAAATCATACATACGACACAGACTATATCATTAAGCAAAAATACGACACCGACTATATCATAAGCATCAGTGCGACACCGACACATGATATGATAATGTAGCAGGGACATTGTGAGGATATGATACTGAGCAGGGACATTGCAAGGATATGATAATGTAGCAGGGACATTGTGAGGATATGGTAATGTAGCAGGGACATTGCAAGGATATGATAATGTAGCAGGGACATTATAAGGACATGCTAATGTAGCAGGGAGAGGGTGAGGATATGATTATGTAGCAGGGACATTGTGAGGATATGATAATGTAGCAGGGAGAGGGTGAGGATATGATAATGGAGCTGGGCCATTTTGAGGATATGATAATGTAGCAGGGCCATTGTGAGGATATGATAATGTAGCAGGGACATTGTGAGGATATGATAATGTAGCAGGGACATTGTGAGGATATGATACTGAGCAGGGTCATTGCAAGGATATGATAATGTAGCAGGGACATTGTGAGGATATGATAATGTAGCAGGGACATTGTGAGGATATGATAATGTAGCAGGGACATTGTGAGGTTATGATAATGTAGCAGGGAGAGGGTGAGGATATGATAATGTAGCAGGGCACTGTCAGACTATGGCAATGTTACAGTGACACTGTCAGACTGTGGCAATGTTACAGTGATACAGTCAGACTATGGCAATGTTACAGTGACACTGTCAGACTATGGCAATGTTACAGTGACACTGTCAGACTGTGGCAATGTTACAGTGACTCAGTCAGACTATGGCAATGTAACAGTGATACAGTCAGACTATGGCAATGTTACAGTGGCACTGTCAGACTATGGTAATGTTACATTGACACTGTCAGACTATGGCAATGTTACAGTGACACTGTCAGATTATGGCAATGTTACAGTGACACTGTCAGACTATGGCAATGTTACAGTGACACTGTCAGACTATGGCAATGTTACAGTGACACTGTCAGACTGTGGCAATGTTAAAGTGACACTGTCAGACTGTGGCAATGTTACAGTGATAGAGTCAGACTATGGCAATGTTACAGTGACACTGTCAGACTGTGGCAATGTTACAGTGACTCAGTCAGACTATGGCAATGTTACAGTGATACAGTCAGACTATGGCAATGTAACAGTGACACTGTCAGAGAATGGCAATGTTACAGTGACACTGTCAGACTATGGTAATGTTACAGTGACACTGTCAGACTATGGCAATGTTACAGTGACACTGTCAGAGAATGGCAATGTGACAGTGACACTGTCAGTTTATGGCAATGTTACAGTGACACTGTCAGACTATGGCAATGTTACAGTGACACTGTCAGACTATGGTAATGTTACAGTGACACTGTCAGACTATGGCAATGTTACAGTGACACTGTCAGACTGTGGCAATGTTACAGTGACTCAGTCAGACTATGGCAATGTTACAGTGACACTGTCAGACTATGGCAATGTTACAGTGCCACTGTCAGACTATGGCAATGTTACAGTGACACTGTCAGACTATGGCCATGTTACAGTGACACTTTCAGACTATGGCAACGTTACAGTGACACTGTCAGACTATGGCAATGTTATAGTGATAGAGTCAGACTATGGTAACGTTACAGTGACACTGTCAGACTATGGCAATGTTACAGTGACACTGTCAGACTATGGCAATGTTACAGTGACACTGTCAGAATATGGCAATGTTACAGTGACACATTTAGACTATGGCAATATTACAGTGACACTTTCGGACTATGGCAATATTACAGTGGCAGTCAGGCTATGACCATATGTTCGCAGTGAACAATTAACTTGCCTTTGCATGTGTTTGTGATGTGTGCCACCTGGGTCAGGATACGCTCAACATTTCATGAACACCTATAATCATCACTATCTTATTAATGATTCACAAACCCATGCTTATAATATAATGGATTCTGCTTGGGAGAGTTGTTTTTGAGACTTTAGGGACTATGTCTTTTGTCACTTTTATCAGAAACACTGCCAGGGGAAACATGAAAACGTAGTGTGGTTTACTTTGGAAGGAGACCCCTTCATATCAGTTTCCCCGTATATTTTGTGACGGATGCATAAATAATATATATCTTAATGCATAAAATTATAAATAACAATTTTCAACGAAAATATTACAGATCAATTAAAAATGACAAGTATACGCCTCCGAAAATAATATGCAACGCTGCATGGTGTATTCAAGGGTAGTTGGGTTTTGGTGTTCATCCCCCAATTATTTAACAGTGAACTTTGGGCGCATCATTTGAGGGTTGCAACAAGCGCTTCAAAATAGTTTTTTTTGTTAGTCATTAATTTATTGGGTCATCTAAAGTAAGGCTGATTAGTATCCAAACTATTCAAGCTTCCCGACATTGGGGTGATTAATTAATAATGTTCACCATA